ACCAATCTCATTTTCTTTTTAATTGATCAATTTGTTGATGTTGTTGTTTTTGTGTGACAGACATCGCAGGATTCCTGATCCTTATCCCTCAATATCGTTCGTTTGGGTGCACTCGTTTCGGCCTCCATGGCCAGCCAAGGCCGGCTGCCAGCCAGCTGATAATCGAGTTGTCTTAACTCTGGGTATAAAGGGACTCTACTTTTTGGAGGATATTGAGTGCATGCTAAGGGAGAACGCTGTATAATTTTTCGGAAGTCGGCAAACTTCTCTCGATAAAATAATTATTTCTCATAAGAGTTATGAGCATTTTACTTGGAAATAGCGCACTTTAGAAAAAACATGTTCAGAATATTTTTAGTGCAAATTGCAACTTGATATCTTAAGTTTTGAGCGAATTATATGTAATTTGGAAAGTTTTAATTTGGCAAGGCCTCCCCCATGAGCCCGTGGAGTTTGAGGCCTCTGATGGTTCAATTTTTAATTTTCAAAATTTTGGTGCTGGTCGATTTTTGAACCAGAAAAACGCCTAAGCCGTTGGTCGAAGAGCAAATCAGACGAAATCATCCAGCCCTCAAGAAATTATAGAACTACCTTCGCACCTCCCATAAGTCCACGGGGTCATGAGTCCCTAGAGGAATCATTTAAATTTTCCCTCAAAAATAAGTCGTTCGGAATTTTGATTTTGAGGATGATCATTGATCAGGTATAAATAAAGAAGTCAAGTTTTAAAAAAAACATTCTACTTTGATTTTAATCTTGTATCAGGTTGAAACAAAATGCACATCTAAAAGTAAGTAACATAGGTTTAAATCAAACAATCGATAAAAAACAAAAACTATAACGAAAAAACAACTTAAAAGAAATGAGTCGGTAAATAAAACAGTAGGAAACACGTATTGCTTTGAACGCATTGGTAAATATAACTAAATAATGGTAAGAAATCAAGAAAGACCAGGAAAAAAAAAGTTCTGAGTCATGAGGAAAAGGGAATGTATTGCAAGGTATGCCATCCTTTGCAGACTTTATTTTTCTTCAAGTATTTCAGTCGTGGACATAGACAATGTTACGATTTTTGATAACTAAGTAATGAATGAGTCTCCTTGCTGGTGTGTTTACGATCTTGATAAGACTTTTTTAATACATTTCTTTAAGGTGAGAAGTATGTCCCTGATCATAAATTTGACTTTTTTTCTGCCTGCTTTTACAGTGGACGCTCTTATATTGATTCAAAATTACCCAAGGATAACATCTTATAATTAGGAAATTCACTCTATCAAATTTTCAAAAATGAGGAGCGCACGTCTAGGTCAATCTGGACACATGAGAGTTTTTTATTCTTTTTCACAGTTCTGAAAAAAAATGTTTTTTTTTTTTTTTTTTTTTTTATCCTCTGGTGCATATCTTTCAGAAATTAAGAGTGTTATTTTCATGAGCTTTTTTCTTTTTAATGTTCCTTGCAATCAGGACTAAAGGTGGAACGAGAGTTATGAATGTATACAGACACATAACTTTTTATTTTCTGCTAAAATACAGCTGAGAAACATGCAAAAATTTGCCAACCTTCTAAATTTCAAGAAGAACTCTTTTGCAAACGAATTTTTTTTTATCTCTGGTCACAGTTTTAGTCAATGGTCATATTTGCATGCTCATAAAATTTAGAGCTTGCACGTGAAAATTTCCTGAGAAAAATGCACCAGAAGTTAAATAGATTTTAAATTGATGCAAATGAGACCTACGTCTTACCTTGAGAGCTATTCTTTGTAAGAACTTTTGCAAAAAGTGTTAAGAGTTATAGGTCTGCCATTTCTGTAGGTCCAGAGGAATAAGAAATCCTTGTTTTGTGTGAAAAATTACAATATATTTCATTAAGGATGAATATTTTTCTAAAACTTATTCTTTTTCAAATGCTCATTAAAAAGTAAATCTCTAGTGAACAAGTCACCATAATTTTTTTCTCTCCTATATCATCATCAGGTACCCAAAGTTATAATGAATCTGAAGCTCTTACACATCCACCGAAGAGTGATTTTTCTACTTTGAACTTTCTTCCGTTTTTTCTTTGGAATTGAAGAAAGTTTAAAATTCATTACTTTGACTGAAAAGTAACTGCAACTGTAATGCTGATGATTTTTTCAAGAGGATCTAAAAAATACTTAATAGTTATTTTTCCACAACTTGGTAAGTACTTCCTCCGCCTGGCTGCGAAATAATGGGATGAGCAATCGTTATGAGAAGGTTGCCCTCATCAGCATGATTGGTATGAATGGCATGATGTACATGTTAATGAGAAACGCCTGCAAAGAGACTGCTGGCAACCTGACTTTCTTCCCAATGAGTGTGTACGCAAGTATATTCTTCAGTTAAAATCTAAAGAAATAGGAACATCTGGAACAATCAAAGAGAACAAGAAAATATGTCAGTTAACATTATTATTTACAAAGTTCTCTTCATACAAGCAGAAGTTATCTTTGATGATTTACAAAGATATTAGTTGATTGAGCCTACCTCTACTCATGGTAAACCATTCAAAAATATTAGTCTGTGGTATTTTCCTTGGCAAAAAATAATGCTATTAAAATGGTGGTTTTTCTTTTAAAGGGATTCAAAAGAAAAGTAAAACGAACGGACTTGTCAGAAGCGAAATCAAGGAATGAATGATTTTCAAAGTTTCAGTTCCTGCATACCTATTTCATCTCTGATTGCAATTGTGACTAATACCTTGGGGAATTCAAAATTAATTTCTTGAGAAAATTTCTGACACCTTTCTTCATGATCTATAATACAATATTCAAACTAAGGAGGACGATTCTAATGTGAAGTTAGTGAAATTTTGAAAGTCTTATTCTATTTTAATGAAAAACTTTTTTTTATAAAACTTAAAAAATCATTAGTACTTCATATTGTCATATTAAAAATACTCTTTATCGCCATTAACTTGACCTTTGTTCTAGTATTATGGAGTGCTTATTGTCCTATTGAACTTAGATTTGATGTAATTTTAGGGCTATGTTTATGTGACACCTACTTAAAACATTTATTTTCTTTCGGGAGGTCCATTTAGTTTCACATTTAGAATAAGAAAGTCTACACTCTACAAAGTCCTTCAACATCTACTCTTGTAAAAGATGACAAAATTTGACGAAATTCTACCAAAATTCAATGCGTAAATTTTCTCTATGTTTCTATATGTATTTCCTTGTTAATAAATAACTTGAAAAGCTACCAAAACTTTTTATCAGATAACTTAAAAAACACCTACAAATGAGAAAATTCTGTGTTTTTGACAGGCTTTAAGTTATTTAGGAAAATAATTGCTGAAATTAAAATACGGTGAATAAATAATATTTTTTCCTTCGGAATATTGTAATGTTTTTTGCAAACATTAAAATCCTTTCCAAGGATCTAGATATTTCTTAGGTGATTTCGTTGGGGTCTTTCATAAGTCAGCTGAAATGTTTCCTTTCTGATTTGTAGTTTGGTACCTCTATGCGTCTCTTTAAACCTTCTCTTAACATCATGTTGAAATAAATGGGCCTTCCAATGGTAAGGGTCTGTTCTATGAGCAACCATAAACACGATCTAAATGCTCACAAAAATTCAATGAAAAATTTCAAAACATGAATAGGGCATTGCTCATGAGGCTATCTCCTCGAGGGTGACAAAACGACAAGTGAGTCTTGGTGTAATGAGATGAATTTACCTATAAGCAATGGAAAAATAAAATTTTATCACCAGGGCCTCCACATCGGGTCATTCTCATCTCTTTTCACGCTGAAATCCAAAGGCTCATTCTCGTTGTACGGTTCTGAACCCATCGTAGGTGAGGAAGAGTTCACTTGCACACACTGACTTGGCAGAAGAAAAACAACTTGTCCGTCTGGTAATCGTGACGGAATCACCTGAAACATTGATTTTAAAAATCAACTGTTTTACCTCTAAAATTATCACATCTATTCTGCCGTGACAAGGAAGAACGTCGTATGAACATTCGAGAGTTGCTAAATTTTCTTCATAAAATATGTATTTTTGACGACATGCATGCGCATTTTTCCTTGAAATTGTTAGATATTTCAGATTAAATTGCGTACAAAATCGTCTGAAAATTCTGGAAAAAAATATTCACAAATTTCTCAGTAATTTCGGTTTTTATCGAAGGAAACTTGGTTACGCCTGAATGCTCATACGGCGTTTTTCCTTAGCAGTATTGCAAATCAGTTATTCCTGTATGAGATGTTACATGCATAAATATAGGAGATGTCAAGTTTTGGAATTTCGAGAAAATTGCATCTAAAGTGTTCAAAGCCCTGTGTTAAGGAGCTGAAAATTTGCTCGCGACTTTGTTCTTTGGCACAATGGAAAATTTTTCTTGTAAAAAATCCTGGAGACGGTTTTTCAATCTAAATTGAGGGGCTTGGAGGACGAGAAGCCATAAGTGCAGTTTTTGCTACTTCGAAAAATATGTGTCGAGAAATTACATGGATCCTTTTTGCAGAAAGAAAGTTCAAACCGACCTTTGGATGATTAAAAATTGGAATTGACTCAATTTCGTATAATACTGTGCAATACCTCGGTGTGAAATAGTTGCTTCAAGCGCCGCGGCGCGGCGCGGCGGGCGGGCAGCCAGCGCTGAACGCGCATTGGCGCCTACAAACCTAACAGGGATACTTCACGCATTGCGCAATGCGTGAAGTATCCCTGTTAGGTTTGTAGGCGCCAGTGCGCCGCCGCTCCGCTTTGTGTTAGGCTCTAATATTTAATCTCGCGGAGTCAGCGTTTTTCAACCCATGACTTTGAAATGTTTGCACACTCTGAATGGATTATTCTCATTTTAATTGATGAAAAAAAATACGCAGTAAAGGAAAATATAATGTGCGTTTTGTATATATTAAGGTGATTCCGTAAAAAAGTAAGGATTTACAAAGCACAAGAATTTCTACACAATTTCTTATAGCCTTTCATAGCCGATGGCGAAAAAGCAACAGTCAGGTGATGAAGTGTAAAGCCCGGCGATAGGAACTATAGCCCGGCTGTATAATTTTTTATCGCTTCGTGTTGCGCTGGCCGTAGGATTTTTTCCACTTTCTACAGCCAGCTATATGATTTTCTATCGCCCTCTTCAGTCGGCTATAAGAACTCCTATGGTATTTTGAAACGCAGCTCCCATCGCCAATTTTTACCAGGGTACATGGGAAACTACTGAACGTTGAAAATTTCAGTGGTTTTTCTTCCTCTCGTTTGGACGTATCTCTATCGAATAGAACTAAGCGCAGGTGGGATAGATGGGGTCTGCTCGTTAGCGCTCGGGCCATAAGAGAGAATGGGAAATATAAAGCGCCAGTGACGAAACCGTCAACGTGGCTCCTCGAAGTGGGCATTAACTCATGAGCCCTGTTCACAACGCTCTAGACACATGCCCATGGCTCATACACTTTGCACATAGCTCCGTTTGACAGAATGTAAAATCCCGCTTTCCCAATTCAGCAAACGGAATTGTGAGTAAACTGAATGCGACACCCTTCAGGAGAAAAAACCTCGTGCGTGGGACCCGAAGTTTAGATCATAAGGACTTCTGATGTTTTCGGATTGAGCATCTGAACACTATAGGTCTAGCTGTCGTCGAGGTTCGGATCACACATCTGAAACTTCAGTCCTTATATCTGAAGTACTTCAGATGTGAGAACCGAAGTTTTTCGGAGGTTAAATCTGAAGTACCTACTTCAGATGTAAGAACTGAAGTTTCAGATGTGTGATCCAAACCTCAGCAGCTGGTCCTAAAGTGTTCAGATACTTCAGAATCCGAAAACTTCAGGGATCCATATGACCTAAACTTCGGGTCCCACGCACGAAGTTTTTTCCTCCGTGCATGAGCCATGGGCATGTGTCTAAAGCGTTGTGGACAGAGCTCATGAGTTAATGACCACTACGAGGAGCCGCGACGACGGCTTCGTCACCGGCGCTTTATATCTCTCATTTATTCTTATGGCCCGAGCACTAACGAGCAGACCCCATATTTCCCACCTGCACATAGTTCTCTTTGATAGAAATACATCCATTTGCTCTCCAGCGGTGGCGTGGCGTGATTTGCGATATATCGATTGTTATGCCACTTAAACTTATGGAAAAGGATCGATAAACAGGGTGTTCGCAGCGAACACCTTGATGATCGATACTTCACCATGGGTTTAAATGGCAAAACAATCGATATATCGCAATTCACGCCACGCCACTGGTCTCCAAGAGCGGAGATTGCGCGACATCGTAACCGAGATACCCATTTTTGCAGTTTCACCGTCGACATATAAAATACACGTGATCAGATATAGTAGAGTCTCAGTTATCCGCGATGCCAAATTATCCGCGATTTTTTTTCTCCCTTTTTTCCTTTTTGTTTTGCACAGGAAACGAAAACTATTGCTCACCTGGACGATGGACATGGATTGATTCGTGGGGGATTTACTCCCCGGAGAGTTGGCTATCACATGCTTCTTGTCGCTTTTCTTCGGCCTGGACTTGCGTCCGTTCATTAGGCTAGATTGGCTCGAGTGTTTAATCGACTCCTCGCTAGAGAGCGCTGTGCTGCTGTCCGGTTCCGGTTTCGGGGTTATGATCGGATCCGAAAACAGCTCCATACTTTCATCCTGCGCAAAGTCATGTGTTCGGAAATTAATTTTGCTCGATAAAAAGTGCAACAAGAGAAAAACATGAAAGATATGGCCTGGAATGGATGCGTGACAAGGTGGTAAAATCGTGCTGGATAGACACTATTTTGCGAGAAAGGCAAGGCCAAAAAATTCCGAAAATTTCAATCAAAGTCAATGATTGTTTAACTCAAATGAGTATCAGTACAGGACTGGGGGAAGAGAGTGCTCAGTTC